ATCTATTCTACAATTTTGAAATCCCAGACTATCCCTTCCCACCCTCCACCCCCCCATATAACATTCTTGAAATGACAAAGTTACAGAAATGGAAAACACAGATTAGTGGTTATCTGGAGTTAAGGAGGGGGTGGGGGGGTAGGGAAGTGGGTGTGGTTATAATAAGATAATTGTGAAAGATCCTTGTGGTGATGGAAATGTTTTGTGTCTTAACTATATCAATGTCAATATCCTGGTTGTGATAATTGTATCATACTTGGGCAAAATGATACTACTGGGGGAAACTGGATAATGGGTACTTTGGATCTCTCTTAATTATTTCTTACAACTCCATGTTAATCTATAATTATCTCAATATAAAGAAGTTGAATTTTAAAAATACCTGAAAGTATTATTATAAAACATCATTTATTAATTCTGTAATCATTTAATTCTGAGTGGTGGTTACAACAGCAGTAATAGTATGTAGTTATAATAGCACAGAGGAAAACACAACAAGCAATTTATAGAAGAAAACAAATGACCAACAAAAAATGTTCAGTATTCAAGGAAATAGAAATTAAAAGGATAGTGAAATACCATTTTTCCCTCACTGATATAGTAAAGATTAAAAAGGTTGAGAAGCTCTGACCAGGGTTTGGGGAAGGAAGCACTCCCAACAAACTGTTGCTGGGATTGTAAATTTGTACAAAGTTTTTGGGAGGCCAATTTGTGATCTCTTATCGACAAAACTATGTCCTACAGTAATGCTTTATAGAAAATGAACAAGAACTTTTATTGCAGCATTATTTGTAAGAGCAAATAATTAGGGGGAAAGAAATCTTAACCATTTTCATAAAGTAATGGTTAAAAAATAAGATACATTCATATTATGGAATATTACTACTGGTAAGAAAAATGAGGTAAAGACTTTCCATCGAGGGAGAAATGTAAATACATCCCACTAAATCTCCTTCCCTAGGGCCAAATGAAACAACAAAGAGAACTCAAAATAGAAAACCCCAACTTTTATGACGCCTTGAGGTAGAACAATTATAAACTGCTAACTACGAAGAAAAGCTGCCAAAACATACTGAAATTCGTAATAAAATCCAGGAAGGACACTAAACGCAGATCTTTGCTGATTTCACACTGAGTGCAGAACTCTCCAAAACAGCGGTTCCGCCTCAACCCCTCCACAAATACCCCTTTACCTGCCGGCAACTAGGGTTCTAGATCCCGGTCCAGAGTTGAGCCGCAGCGGCTGGGATTCGGCAGCAAAGCAAGCGCGAATGTGAGTGAGTAAGTGAGCAAGTTGAGTGTGCGTGTTTGTAGGGGGATAAAGGGAAATGCCTGGGAGCATACAAATCAGATACAGGAGTGGCTGGGGTTTGATGGGCAAAAAAATGGTAAAAGGATATTGTGACGACTTCTTCTTCTTCCTCTTCCTTCTCTCTTTCAGTATTTGAGTCATTTTCGAAGAGAAATTGATGATGGTTTGTGTCGTTTTTCTCAAAGTTCATTTTTTAAAAATAGAAGCTCTGACTGGCAGATGTTGTGCCGAGGGAAATCAAGGATCCTAGGTTCGAATCCTGTTCCTGCTCATAATTCTCTTCGTGACTCAAACTTCGCAAGTTTCATCATCTATAAAAAATTGATAATCATCACCAGTCGCCGTTCCGCGACAAGGGTCAACGGAAAGAATTTTTCGTTTCTGGGGCCCCAATTTGGTCCTAGGTAGAAGCGGCGCCCCAATCAGGTACTGCCGCGCCGCCGTCCCGGGACGTCTCGGGACTTGTAGTCCACCCGGCTGAACTCGCTGTCCCGGCACGCCCCGCGGCGGCGGCAGGGCTACGTGGCGCGGCCGGCCGCGGCTGCGCGGGCAGGTGGGGCAAGATGGCTGCGGAGCAGAGCGCGCGGGTCGCTGAGCCCTGCCCGGGAGCGCGGCTGGGTAGGGTCGTTCGGGCCCTCCTGCTGCTGCTGTTGTTCGCGGCCCGCGGAGGCGCGCTCTACTTTCACATCGGGGAGACAGAAAAGAAGTGCTTTATCGAGGAGATTCCGGACGAGACCATGGTTATAGGTGCGGGGGACGGGGGAGAGTTTGCGACTAGACCGCGGTCTTGGGGCGCGGGGTGCGGGCAAGTCAGCTCTCCGGAGCCAGGAGCAGCCGGCCTCGCCGTGCACCGGTGGCCGCGGACCCGGCGCCTCCCCGCGCTCCTCTGATTGCGCTCGCCCCGCTTCTCCTCAGGAAACTACCGGACGCAGCTGTATGACAAGCAGCGAGAGGAGTACCAGCCGGCCACCCCCGGGCTTGGCATGTTCGTGGAGGTGAAGGACCCAGAGGACAAGGTGAGGCGGCCCCTGAACCTCGCTGAGCCCTCTGCTCTGCACTTGAGCGCCAGACCAAGCAGGCTCTGTTACTTCCCTTCCTGGTTTCCGCATCTGCTAAACTGGTAAAAACAGTTGGTATTGTGGGAAGATGCTGGATTTTCACTCCAGGCCAGCCTTGGGCTGTTGCAGTGCTGGCTGCTCCTCTCAGCCTCTTACCACTTTAGGACTCGGCGAAGTCCTTTACTTTTCCTGAGCCATTTTCCTGGTCTGTGAAATGGAAATTCGTCTATCTTATAGATAGGTAATGGGTAATGGGTGATGGGTGGATTAATTGTGCTGCTGGAAATCGAAGAGTTTTGTCAACTCTAAAGCTGTGACATCTAGACTTTAGGATTTCACGGAATAGGGTACTTTCCGAAAAGAATGAGCAGCTTTTGATTTTGACAGATAAGGATATTAAAACAAACAAACCAAAAACCCAAAACTCTTTTTTAATTTAAAATTTTATGTATGTATGTATGTATGTATGTATTTATTTTGGTGGGAGGAAGGCAATTAGGTTTATTTATTTTTAGAGGAGGTACTGGGGATTGAACCCAAGGCCTCATGCATGCTAAGCATGCACTCTAACACTTGAGCTGTACCCTCCCCTTCCAAAACCCTTTAGCTGTCACTTTCACTTAAAAAAAAATAATTACACCAAAAGAGTTGAAAGGTCACAAGCCATGAAGAAAGAAAGCCCTTTCCAAGTGTGGTCATGTGCCAGACTAATGTTAGACTCTTCACCCCTGCTCCAGATTGTTTGAAGACAAGTTTTTGGCACCTGCTGCTAACCAGCACTAAACCTTTTAGTGTTGTAGGGTGCCTAAGGCTCTGCCTGTCAACTTTTGAGGCTCTTACTGCCTTAATCACCGTCCAGCCCCATCCCCACTATAACACTCACCAAAGCCTCTTCTCTCCAGGTCATCCTGGCCCGGCAGTATGGCTCTGAAGGCAGGTTCACCTTCACCTCCCACACCCCTGGTGAGCACCAAATCTGTCTTCACTCCAATTCCACCAAGTTCTCCCTTTTTGCTGGAGGCATGCTGGTAAGTGGACCCACGTGGGACTCATGGCTTTCAGCCTCTAGCCCATGGTCAGGGCTGGAGACTGGTGATACTGTGGGTGTGAGATGACTGTGTCAGATTTTGTGTCTCCTGATAAGACCGGGTTTCCGGTGGATATTCAGGACATGGTTGCAGGGCTCTTTGTATATGCTCTAGGCAAGCATCAGCCAAGGCTTGTTCTTGCCTATGGGCCTAGAGCCCCATAGGGCCGGACACTGAGGAGGCCTCAGTCAGTGTTGGCTAAATGAACAAATGAAGAAAGGTGGGAGGACCAGCTGTTAGGCCCTGGCAGGAAGACACAGCAGGACTACCTGATTCTCCTTATCTTCCTTGTCTGTCTCCAGAGAGTTCATCTGGACATCCAGGTAGGTGAACATGCCAATGACTATGCAGAAATTGCTGCCAAAGACAAGTTGAGTGAGTTGCAGCTACGTGTGCGACAGCTGGTGGAGCAGGTGGAGCAGATCCAGAAAGAGCAGAACTACCAGCGGGTGAGTGGTCAGGCCGGGAGCAGTGGGCTTCTCCCCAGACGCTGCGCACTCACTTAGCCAGGAGTTGCACGTCAGATTCATTTTGAACCCCAGGGACTTACGTGTCTCTGCTGTGTTGTTAGGCTAAGTGGTGGCATGGGTATTACTGGCTCTACTTTGTAATTGAGGAGACAGATCTCTTAAGAGGCTGTCATTGTCTTATTAGGAGATACACAAAGTGACAGCAGGAATTGATATCAACACCTTGGGTGCTAGTTCCATGGTCCTCAGTGCTCCCAGGACCAGAGTTTCAAACTCTGGAGCTAGGCAGGTACGATGAATGGATTTGTGACTATAAGGACTGGTAAAATAGTGCCCTCTCTAAACAGGAATGGCTCATGTTACCAGCTGAGGACAGCCTTGCAGAGATGCTAGCTCTGGGTTTTAGGAGGAGCTAGAGATTCAGGTTGTTTATGTGAAATTTTTCAGGTTTTAAATGTTGTCAGAACACTACGTGAACCAAACAAAACACACATACGGGCTAGATCCAGCCCCTGAGCCACCAATTTTCAACTTGTGCCCACAATCTTCAAGGAGCAGTTTGGGAGACCCGGGCAGAGGGCTCAGAGCAGGTCCCCTTCTGAGCATTGCAGGACAGCTCTGTCTGATAGGGTGATACCACAACCACTTTACCACTCCCCCAGGCACCTGGGGGAGGACCGTACCTGACAGATGAGCAGACAGACCTAGGAGAAGTGAGTGGGTTGTTTGAGGTCATCTGACTGGTGAGGGTGAAAACAGTCCCTGGGTGAAATGGCTTTTTTCAGGCACTTGCCTGGAACCTGGGCAAAGTTGGTTGGTCCTGGGGTATCTTCCAGGGAGGGAATCCAGCAGTTCTAGTGAACTGCAGGTGACCCCCAACCAACTCAGGCTCTTCTTTCATTCTCCCCTCCCACAGTGGCGAGAGGAGCGCTTCCGGCAGACCAGCGAGAGCACCAACCAGCGGGTGCTGTGGTGGTCCATCCTGCAGACCCTCATCCTCGTAGCCATCGGCGTCTGGCAGATGCGACACCTCAAGAGCTTCTTTGAAGCCAAGAAGCTGGTGTAGCCATCCCAAGCCTCACAGGCCATCCTTCCTCTCTGACTGGGGAAGAAAGGTCCTCCTGGACTGACTTCTGTCTGGCAGGAGGACTGGTTCCCAGCCATGGATGTTCTGGGGAGAGGGGCCAGCACACGCTGAGGGCAGCAGCTTGGCTTGCTAATACTGAGCAGGTGGTGGGGCAGTTGCTCCTTCTCCTGGGCTCTGGGCCCTTTGCAGTAATCTCCCAGGGGCTGGTGAAGCCACTGGGAGCCCTACTGACACCTCAGAATCACAGTGTTACTGATCAGGGATGTGAGGCTGTTGTCTGGGGTGGCTGGGGGGAGGGACATGGGTGGGCAAGCCAATCTTCCTTCTGTCTTCCTTTGCTAACTTGGGATTTTGACCAGGTTGGGATGTAGCTTTGATTCCCTGCCACCTGGGGAACCTCACTACTCCCCCTTTGGGCCTAGACCCAGCCTGCTGATCTGGGGCATGTGTGTTGAGGGTGGGGTAGTGGGGTGGCAGCGTGGGAACGTGGCCCTGAATTTGACCCCGGATTCTTCACGTGGTTGTTCTTTTTGGGGCTAGAGAAACGGGTCAGGCGAAGCAGAGGCTTTGGTGCTGGTTGGGGGTGGGGCCTGCAGAATCTTAGTTACTGATTTCATTTTCAATAAGTCTAAGTTTGTTACATTGGTTTCCCAATTAAAAAAAAATTGACTTCTTGTCCAGTGTAAATTTACTCTACTGTCAACGGCATAACACCACAGGGTGTTTGAGGGAGTGTGTTTTCCCAACGGGCAAAGCTCTTCACATCCTAAGATGAATATCCACCTGTGAACTTCATTCTTTCGATCCTCCCTGGTTGGTGGTGTTGCCCAAGATCATCCGACAAGTAAATTGTGGGGTTGGTGCTCAAATTCACACCATTTCCTCTACACCAGCTCCCCTGTGAATTGCTCTGCCTTCTACAGTAGGTGGACAGAATTGTGCTGCAAGGAAGTGCCTAGTTAGGGAAGGTAGTGTGCATTGAACAGAGGGATCTGCTGGTGTGGGAAGGACAAAAAGCCCTGGGCTGGTGGGGATGAGGATATTGATGGGCTTAACCAATAGCATGAGATTTCAGCAAAGACTTTGAAGAAGAGGAAGGATTTTGATGAAAGAAGGCAAGGCAGAGGTGGTTGAGAGAGACAGGCAAACAGCTGGAATGGAGACGGATGAGCATTTTTTCAGCTGGTGTTGAGGGAGAGGTGTTGTGAGAAAGCTGGAAAGTAAGGTTGGTTAGAGTTAGAAGAGCCTTGAACCCCAGATAAGAGATTTGGATGTTACCACTGTTCAGCAAAGTTTTGAGTATAAGAACCCCCTGAATATGAATTTGGGAGAGGTTATCCAACAGTGTGTGAGAAAGAGACTGGGGGTGGGGAGACAAATTTGGGGACTACTTGAATTGCTAGGAGAATGTAGTCTGAGCTCATATTGCCACCTAGACCTCCACATTTAGGAAAAACCTTTTTTTAAAAACAGCTTTAGAGTTACAGAAAAATTGTGAAGATAGTTTACCTTATTAACATGATGCAATAACATGAGTACATGTTAAAACTGATGAACCAGTAGTGATGGTCCATACTTCATGCAGATTTCCTTAGTTGTTACCTAGTGTCTGTTCCAAGATCTGTCTAGGATACCAAATTACATTTCGTTGTCTCCCCTTGGGCTTCTCTTGGCTGTGACAGTTTCTCAGACTTTACTTGTTCATTATCTTGACGGTTTTCAGGAGTACTGTTCAGGTATTTTGTAGAATTTCCCTGAATTGTGATTTGTCTGCTGTTTTCTCATCATTAGACTAGGGTCCTGGGTTTTTGAAAGAGAGGCCACAGAAGAAAAGTGCCACTCTCATCCCCTCATATTAAGGGTACTAATTGCCAACATGACTATAGATACCACATAGCTTAAAATTAGTTAATTTAGGTTTTTAGATGAAATCTGATTCCTTGAGCTAAGTCAGATCTGATACTACTGGGGCTTCATCTCAATGCGACTACAATTAGCTGGACTGAATGGCAGCTATCTGGGCTTGTGCTTCCCAGGTCAGTCCCATTTTCCTGCTTCCATCACTGGCCTTATCTGACTGGTCTCTGCAGGGGTCAGCCTTGCCTTTGTCATTAGCCAAATCTAGGCTGGATTTGTCAAGGTTCTGGTACAGGGTGTGGTGCCCTGGGAGAGTTCAGTGGGAAGGGGACTGGTGGGTTGTATGCTTGGTTAAAGGGAGAAAAGGGGCTGCTGGGAATGATTAATTTCCCACCCATAGTGAAGTCCTCTCAGAAGCAGAGTGCCTGAGTCCACAGCTTGTGAAACCAAACTACCTGGGCTTACATCCTGAATTGTCTCTGTGTGCCTCAGTTCCCTCATCTGTAAAGTGGGCATAATAAGTGCAATATTCATAAGGACATACTGAGATAACAGTAGTAAAGAATTTACAATGACTGGTACATAGTAAAAACTCATTCGATGTTAGCTATTTATTAGGAGATTTAAATTTTGCCTGGAAGAAGAGAGGAGATCAAGTTAATAACTCTGCCACTCTCTTCCCAGGTGGGAAGCTGGCCTAGCTGGGGCCTAAGTTCCCATGGTGACAGGGCAGATATGGGAAGTCAATCTCCTTATTCCCTTCCGCAGTTCTCACCTCAGCTCCACTGAAGTACCCCTCCCCAGATGACAGCTATCATTTATATAGCGTGGACTATTGTGCCCATCACTGTACCAGTGTTTGCATTTTCTCCTTTAATCCTCACAGCAACCATGTAGATCAGGAACCATTTATATACTCAGGTGAGGAAACAAGCAAAAGAGATTATCTTGCCCCCCACCCCCCACCCCGCCCCAACATAGCCGAACTGGCACAGTCAGGGTTCGAATCCAGCCAATCTGTGTTTAGTGCCTGGCTCCTGACTACTGTTTGGGGTATCCCTGAGCTTGGCCCTGCCCTCCTCCAAGCTTGTCGCGGAGGAAGAGTGCACCTGGGTTGACGGCGCGACTGCTCAGATTCTCTCTGCCTTCCCTTGGGAAGAGGCGGAAGGTGCAGATCATTGCCAGGGTGCTGGTTTGTAAGTCCGGAGTCTAAGTCCAGCCCCAGTCCTTTGTCTTGAGCCCCCTCTGAAACCTCAGTTTCTCGGCATGTCAAGCGGTCCCCGGAAGGCAGCAGTTCCGGCGGTTGGAGTACTCACATGTGCCTCCGGAAGCGGAACCTTTGACGCTGCAGCTCCGGGGAGCAGACGGCGCGGCCGAAGCGACGGACCCAGCGGACCGAGGGGCGGGCGGACGGGCCTGGGCGGGGCGGGAGG